CTACGGCGGGGGCCTGCGGAGCGCGGCGGGCGGTGCCCTGCACAGCTTAGCGGGTGAGGGCCGCGCGGCACCTCCCAAAGACGGGAGTCCAGTAAGAAGCCAGTGCCATGGAGGCTTCAGCTAGAGCCGGGTTTGGAGCTGGGGCGGGCGAGAGTTAAGAAAGAGCTTCAGGTCACTTTACGCGACCAGGGTGTCTCGGGGAGCAGCGGCATTCTGACCCGGGAGCCGCGCGGTAGTGCGGGAAGAGCGCTGAACGACTCCAGACGACAGCAGGCCCTGCCTGCCGGGTAGCCAGTGGGCAAGTTTGAACAGGAGAGAGGTGATAGGAACAAACCGATTTTTTACATATTTATTTTACAAGCACCGTGCACTTAACCAGTTCAATCCTCAAACATCTCTGCAGGCTGCACTTGTTATTCTTCTTACTGATGGGCCAGTTGAGATTCCACAGGAGTCTCAACCAGGGAATTGGAGAGCTGAGTTGATGCTAGGCTCTGGTGTCCAGCCTGGGCTCAGTCACTACCCTAGTCTATCCAAGGGCCCTCATAGCCTGTACAAGGGTGACCCAGGTGGGTCAGGAGACTCAGTGGCCCAAGCCAAGCCAGGGGGAGATGGAGACAAGACTCAGCCTGCTGAAACAGATGCGGCCCTCTCAGCCTGGTGGAAGGGGCGGGGCTTAATCTACATTTCAGAGAATGACCCCCAGCTCCCCAGGAATAAAGGTGTTTCTCCTCTCAGGTGCAAAGAAATGGCTGGAATGGAGGAAAGAGATCGAGCTGCTCTCGGACGTGGCCTACTTTGGTCTCACCACACTTGCAGGTAGCAACCGCAGCAGAACCGGGCTCACGGCACACTCTAAGTCTGAGGTGGGGACTGCCAGGCAGAGTGACAGCCCCAACACTGGGCTAGAACAGGAAGAACTGCCCTGAGACCCTTTCTTTTTTTTATATATACAATTATTTATTTTATTTTTTATTTATTCATTTATTGATTTTTTTTAATTTGACCAGAGAGAGGCAGAGGGTGAGAGAGATAGAGGAAGTGAGAAAGCAAGCCACCTCGAACCCCGGCCAGCCATGTGGGAGTGTCCAGCACCTTAACCACCATGCCACCCACTGGTCCCCGAGACCCTTTCTTACTAGGCGGCCAGGCCTCAAGCCCTAGCCAAGGGCATCTCCTTTCATCCTTTTTATGTCCCTGGAAACCTTTGTCTAGGACTTTGCCCCAAGTTGCCACTGCGACCCATTTCTCAGTGGCTATGGGGCACGTGGGTCACAGTGCTGAGCCCTGTCCCAGGGGGTGCATGCAGTGAGGTTCTGGGGAAGCCGTGGAAGGTCTGTGAACAAAGCCCGTCATCCTCCTTTAGAGAGGAGGGCTGACAGGATTGCAGACTGCAGCTCTGTTACCGAGCACCTGAGCGTTCCCTATCCCTGCATGAGGGGTTACCCCAGGGGTGCCCTGCTGCCATGGAGGTGGGAGACAGAAGGTAAATTAAATGACTGCCTGGTGTGGCATCGTGGGAGGTGATGAGTTCTTTAGAAAAAAGGTCAATGTCTGAAAAGGCACATTCCAGACCAAGTAGGCAGGCAAAGAGCCCGAGAAGGAAGCGTTCTTGGTGGGTTAGAGGGTTGGGGGTGATGCTGAAGGACTGGTGGACTTCATAAGCCTTTGGCTTTCCCTTAGAGGGGCATGGGGCACTGGAGAGACGTGCATGGGGAAAGGCCAACGGCTGGCCTGACACCAGACCACAGGGGTTAGGCCTGCTGCCCTGCCCCCTACCAAAGGGCCCACCTGGGGCTGCCCACCTCCAGCGGAGAGTGACCTCCCCTTGCCACCCAGGAGACAAGGTAGAAGCAGGGAGACCTGCACAGTGGCCATTAAAAGTCTGCCCAGAATGGTGGAGGTGCAGTCCAGGGACAGCAGCAAGTGGGTGAAACACACAAGAAGAGAGTCACCCAAGGAGGTGGGGCAGCAGGTGTGGTGGTTGAAGTGGCTGGATCCCATATGGCCAACTACATGGTTCAAGGCCCAGACCCAGTGGCTTAAAAAAAATAGTTCAGGCATATGTGTGTGTCGAAAATTTCTAAAGGAGAATGGAGAAGGGAGAAGACCATTCCCCCAGGAGTCCTTTCTTGTTTTCCTCTCTCTAGTGAACACACACCATCGAGCAAAATTTTTTAAAAGGTGGGTATAGGGAATCAAGGAGGTACCACAATGTTTTTTGGTTTTTGTTTGTTTGTTTGTTTGTTTTTTGGAGAGGTTTTTCGCTATAGGGCGCGTGCGCTCGCCAGACAGAGACAGAGAGACAGAAAGCGAGAAATCACCCCCCAGAGGGGATGGTCACACCGCAATCCCTTCTCCTCCAATCTCCTCTCGGGATCTTGGGCACGCACGCACACGTGCCCGGCGTGAGTTTTAAGCCACCAGGTCTGGGACGCGAACCGCAGTCGACAACGTGGGAGTCCAGCAACATAGCCATTACGCTAACTGCTGGTTCCAAGGTACCACAGTTTTAAACTCAGGAACAGGAGGTCCTATGTCACCATCAGGAGAGGTTGGAAACAGGCTTTTCCAGGTGGAGGACTAGAAACTTGGCCTTGGTGTGGGTGAGCTTGGGCATTTATCTGTATCCACATCTGGAAGCGAGGTACGCAGAAGCCAGCCTCAGCCTGGGCTGAGGTACAATTAGGGTGGTGTCCGTAGAGCCAAAAGGCTAGATGGATCACTTAGGCAGGGGTGGGTACCAGAGGGGCAACTGGGGTGAAAGGGGAACAAGCACAGGCTTCTGTGGAAGTGCGACAGGGAGGAACACATTTCTCCAAAGGGCCTGGGATCCCAGGGCAGCAGGACTAGCCAATGTGTGGTCACAGTGAGAGCTCGGAGTTTAGGGATGGAAGGTCATGTTGGCCTTGGCTAGAGTGGGGCTGGAGTCTGGCAGGATTGCTCAGGGGTAATGGGTGGGGCAGTTGCCCAGAGTCTGCCAGAGCATGGTGGGCTGATGTGGTCTCTGGAACCCATCCTTCATCAGGTGCTCACTAGGTCCCTTGCCCGTCCTCTCCCCATCAGGCTATCAGACTCTCGGGGAGGAGTATGTCAGCATTGTCCAGGTGGACCCATCCCAGAGGCGCGTGCCCTCCAGGTTTCGCCGTGGTGTGCTGATTGCCCTGCACACTGTCCTGCCCTACCTGCTGGACAAGGCCCTGCTCCCTCTGGAGCAGGAGCTACAGGCTGACGGTGACAGCACCCGGCCCTCACAAGGCAGCTTGGTTCCTGGCAGCCGTGGCCGGTCAGGGGCACGGCGCTGGGTGCGTCGCCATGTGGCCACCTTGACAGAGCAGCAACGGAGGACACTCCAGCGGGCAGCTTTTGTCCTCCGGCAAGGCCTCACCTGCCTCCAGCGACTCCACATTGCCTGGTTTTACATCAACGGTGCCTTCTACCACCTGGCCAAGAGGCTCACGGGGATCACTTACGTAAGTAGCAGGTGCTGAGCGGGCACTGCCACGCTGCCACCATGGTTGCCATTGCTTGGTTTGCACAGAATCGGCTCCATTAGGCCTGTCAACTCCCGTGATTACAGCCAAGGGTTCAAGGCTGAAATCGAAATCCTCTACTTGGAAAAAAAAGGTTTCATTCAGTTACATTTTGCTAAAAGACCTGAAGAAGTCAGTTTCCACTAACCCTATAGGTCGAGCGCATCTGTCTTCCTGCAGCCAGCATGTGTGAGGCAGCCACAGGACAGGGTGGGTTACATTAGCCCACCTGGGTGCCAACCCTTGCACTCTGCTCTTTACTGAGGGACCCTCTGGACAAATCCTTACGCGATGGGCCTATAACTGCCCATTTCACTGCTTTGGGAACAAGCAGCTCATTCCTAGACAGTGCTCAAATGCAAACCCCAACCCACATCCTGGTCCTTCACCTTTGTGTACTACACCCCCCACCACTGCTCCCTTACCATAACCTTCTAGCTACCCTGACCAAGAGAAAGGGTCTTGGCCTAGAGATAGTTTTCCAACAGTGACCCACAGTGACCATGTGGGCCTTGTCCCCAGCATTGCTGCTGGTCTGTCCTGATCCTCCCTGGCCCGTGCCACCTTGCCATCCTTGCCACCTTCCCACCGTGTTCTCAGCCAACACCCATTCCTCCCAACTCACTGACAGCCTCTCCCTTAGCCACGTCTGCCTGCCGCAGCTCCCTGGTCACCTGAGCCACCGTGCTGCACGACTCCTTTCAGAACAGCCTTCTTGGAACCCACCTGCTTCCTTCCACCCTGCTTTGCAGCACTGCCTTGGGCCCCTGCACCCACCCTGTTCCCTTCATTCACCCCCAAATCCCCACCCCACTGCAAAGTATCCAGTGTGGTGTATCACTCCCTGGGGTGTTTGCTGAGCTGTTTGTAGATAGAAGGCTCCTCTTTCTCCTGGGGCAGCGGGTGGCTGAGAACCAGGGCTCAGGCTGCACTGTGTCTTGCCTTCTCCATATGGGGCTCCCAACTCCTGGCCATTGAGAGGGAATTCAGGAAATGGGGAGCTGCCAGCTTTTTCTTTAACAAAGTGGCCAACATTACACACCTAGCTGCAGTCGTTTCAAAGTGTCTTCTGGGGAATGCAGTGTCTGCACGTCAGCACTTCCCCTGCCCATTGGGTGCTGCCCGGACTTGCTGGCTGTTTCTTCTTTCTGAGAGGGGTCCCTGGACTACTGACTCCCTTCTCTGTCTAGCCTCATGGCCCAGACCCCCTGTGTGATTACAATACCTAGAGGTCTACCTCTAGCTTGGTCTCTCTCTCTCTCTCGGGCTCCCTAGACCTGTCCCTATGGCTTGGTGTCATTCACTGGGCACTCCCAGTGCCAGGGAGAGGCCTGGCTCCAAGATGCATGACTGTCCCAGCAGGCATCAGGACCAGGTCTCTCCAGGGTCCTGATGGGTTGTCCATCTGCTTTCATAGCTCCGCGTCAGCCACCTGCCTGGAGAGGACCTGAGGGCTCGCACAAGCTACCAGCTGCTGGGGTTCATCTCCCTCTTCCACCTGGCGCTCTCCGTGGGGCTGCAGCTGTACAGCTTCAGGCAGAGACAGCGAGCCAGGAAGGAGTGGAGGCTGCACCGCAACCTGTCTCACCGCAGGTGTGAGAGGGGCTTCCCGCCAGTTGGGGCAGCAGGTGCCCTCAGCACACCAAGGACTTTGTAAGGCATTCTCCCCTCAATTCTGCCTCCCCCCACCCTCCACCTCCAGGAGCTCTCTGGAAGAAAGAGCAGTTCCCAGAAACCCACTCTGCACCCTGTGCCTGGAGGAACGGAGGCATTCGACAGCCACGCCCTGCGGCCACCTGTTCTGCTGGGAGTGTATCACCGAGTGGTGTAGCACCAAGGTGGGTGCCTGCCCCAGGGGTGCAGAGAATCAGGAGCCAGCCAGCCTCTAAAACCTTCCTGTTTGGGGATAAAGGGGTGGCTATCTTCCTAGAGCTCCCGGGCAGGTCAGTTATGGGGTTGTTGGAGATAAATTCTCGAGTGTTGAGGCTTTGCTAAGTAGGCAGGAGCTGCTGCTGGCACAAGCAAGGTCCCCTTGCTGTTGTGGCAGGGGTGCACAGAGCCAGGCCACATCCTGCCTCCTAGAGTCCTCCCCATACTTGCAAGTCTTGACACATTTATACCTGCAGGGCCTGACCTCAGGCTCACAATGGACCCTGTTCCCAGGGCAGGTGCTCTCGGTGAGAGCTCATATGCTCTGCCCTAAGCAGCTTGAGCCCCATGTAGAAATGCCTGGCAGGTGAGCGGCTGGCCGCCTCAGGAGTCTGTCTCCCTTGGGTGTGTTGGTGAGCACAAGCAAGAGGGCACTTTGATTTTACTTCAGCCAGGCCCCTGGTGGCAGATATCATGGGACAGGACAGAGGACACAGCTTTCATTCTTCCAGAAACGCTCCCAGTAGATGGAGGTGCCATCATCGTGGTCTTCATTGACCTGCTGGTGTGTGCAGATAAATGTAGAACTCTCATCTCCTTTCCTGACAGAAGGCATAGAGTAAATCCTGTTTCCCCTGGGAGACAGCACCCATGTTCATCTGGGATGAAACCTAGAAATGTCTGGAAGGGATCAGAGCAGCACTCAGTGCCTGGTGGTGCTCTTAGTCTGAAGCCCTGCTGAGCTGTGGCAGGTCATCCCCATTGTTGCCTCCACCCCCCCAAGGTGTGCTGGACGTAGCAGACCTTGGCAGTGCTAGCCCACACCCTCTGGCCCAAACTGAAGAGCACAGCAGGGACGCCCCTGGTCCCCAAGGTTCACAGGCACTGAGGGTAGAAACACCCCACCTTGTGCAGGAGCAATGCAATATCCACGGGCACAGCTCTCCTCACAGTAAGGGCAAGACCTATGCCCAGTTCTGCCACCGCAATCCCCACTGGGATTCTGGGAAAGACTTCCTTGGCCATAAGCTTCTGTTCTGTGCCCCAGGTGTTGAAAGTAAATGGGTGGGGGCATAGCTACAGTGGCCTCAGCCATGGTTGACCCCTCCTTCCCCACAGACGGAGTGTCCCCTTTGCAGGGAGAAGTTTCCTCCCCAGAAGCTCGTCTACCTAAGGCACTACCGCTGATGCGACACACAGTTGGTAGTCCAGGAAGAGGACAGAAGGACTCAGGAACACTTTGGAATGTTGAGAAAAAGAAATGTATCCTTGAGATGAACTTTACTTACACAGAAATTATGAAACTTGTATTTTCGATTTTTCATCACATAAAATTCACTAGCTGCCCAAGTAAAGGATAAAAAGCTGAACCTCACTGGGAAACTTCTGGCTCAAGGTGTTCAGGGCCTAGCCCACCAGGAGGAACCAATGCTCCATGCCCCAACTTGATGCAACTTAGTCATTTCTTCAGGAATTCCACTATGTGGGACAGTTTGGGGTTTCCTTCCCTTCCCCAAACCATACAGTTGAGAACTAACTTCAGACATCGGCCAGGAGAAAGTTTTATTCGTTTATATTGTGAGAACATGATTCCAACGTGAGGCTGTGTTAAGGCAGTGGACTGACGGGTGGAGACTGGAACTGGCAGCACAGCAACCTGCTTTGCCAGCGTGGGCAGGTGCAGAGGTAGGAGAGCACACAGTGCCCAGGTGGCAGGAGCCCGTCCACCACGGTTTGATGTCAAGACCACCCACAAGTACCGCAAGTAGAAACACAAACCAAGGGTCAGTATCTGCACCTGAAATATTTGGCACATACTTTTTAATATACATGTCACATTTTAGAACGTGGAAATCTGCATCTTGGCCTGAACAAATGTGGAAAGGAGGTGTCTCCTCCTGGGGGAAGGGAGGGGGCAGGGCCCATTTGAAGGAACAGTTTGATTTCTCAACACCGCGTCTGCAAGCAGACAGTTTCCCAAGGGGAGGTGGCTGGGGGAGCCAGTGTCCAGGTGGGTAGGTGGCCTGCTTTCACAAACAAGGTCACTGCTAAGTCCAGCCTGTCTCGGTTTGTTCTCAGCCTACTTCCTGCCTCTATTTGGTATTTCCAGGTTTTCAAGCCTTTATTTAACTTGTGCCAGACAGAACTTCACTTCAATAAACCAATTCCACAGAAATCGGTATGTTAGGAAGATTGAACTGAAAGGTCTCGTAACACATAGTGTAAAAATGCCCCTGCTGGTAACATTGACAGGGCTGAGGTGCAGCCAGCAGCACTAGATTTTGGCAAAGACCTGTGCAAACCATTTCTCAGTGTTTGATTTAGGAATGAGATGACTGTGTTCATGAGTTAGCCAAGGTCACCTTGCTGAAGGTTGGCAGCCCTGACCACCTCCAGCCTGGGAGAAACCAAGAGGCACTCTGGCCTGCTGGGCAGGTGGTGCTCCACGACTTCCCACAGAAATGGCCAAGTCCATGCAGGAGGGCTGCAGCACAGGCCTGTCTTCGGCCAGATCCTCTCACTTGTACTGCTCTGACCCAAGTGCATGTGACTGCCTGTCATATCTCAGGCCTGAGAACTTACTAGGAAAACAGTATGAAAAATGAAAACCCAAAATACCTAGTTTGAGAATCCAAAGTGCTACAACTTGGAAAATCATTTTAGGATAACGGGTCAGGTATGCAAAGGGGCCTCTTAAGAGAGGCTGTTTCATTTTCCTTTTAATATATATATGCCAGAAAGAATGTGTATATGAGCCAGGGAAAGGGGAAGTGCCCCCAGTGGGGCCTGGTCACATTGCAATCCCTTTTCCCTCCATTCCTCCATCCTGTCAGGATCTTCAGCATGTGTGCACACACTAGCATGTTCTTCAAGCTACCCAAGGGTGAGATTTGAACCATAGCCAAGTGGGATTCAGCCCTCTTCTCAGTGCTTAACCATCACGCTATCGGGTGAGCCCAAGGAGCTCAAGTTCAAATATGCAGAAGTTGGCAAAAAGATATCCAGAGAGCAATAAACATTCATTGGCTAAAATTATAGAACAGGTGGGAAACAGCCTAGACTGAGGAGTCTAAACAGCCCAAGGCCAAGACAAAAAGACATTAATTTGCACTTCAGTGTCTTTTGTGCCCCTGTGACCATAGCTGTCATGTTTTATTATTTGTTCTGCTGTAGGCAAAAATGGCTCCAGAAAGTTGGACTTTCTTGTGTGCAGTGACTGCAGTGTTTCAGATAAAGACTACACAAGAAAGGGGACACGGTCTTTAATAAAGTTGGAATTAAAAAGTCACTTAGTAAAATGTTTTGAGTATTTTTATATCACATCAAAAAAGTTGACATGCAAGTAGGTTCTGTTTTCCCCCATAGAAAATGAAAAGCTGCATGTTAAAACCCACAAAACTGGTCTGTTCTTACCAGTTTTGTTGTTTCCTTAAAGGGGGCTGCTGCATGAGAACTACTTTAAATTAATCCAAAAAAAGAAAACTTTATGTATCAAAGAAATGTGTCAAAATAATCCCAAACAATTAAAATATAATATATTTATCATTTCAGGCCCTCAAAAGCAATCATGGTAGTTAAGAACAAAGTTTTGAGTCATTATGATAGAGGTCAACTTTAAACATCTCTAGTGAGATGAAATTATTAGGAAACTGGCACTAGAACCCCCCCCAGTTACTTAAAAATCACCTTTAAAACATTTAAGATTTTTCCAACACACAGAAACCAGGTTAGCGTCATCCTTCGAGTTCAGAGGGGTGAGCACAGCGTTGCCTCTGGCGTGGTCGGGAGGGCGGCTTGGCTGTGGCGCAGCTGGTCTCTCCCGTACAGGCCTTGCTCCCATGCACCCACCCAGCACCTCCACAGTGACCAGCCACCCGCCCCTCACTCCAATAAGCCTCCACCCACCTGGCCTCCCAAGCTGTGGTTTAGTAGAATTTCATCTACTTGAAATACTTGAACATCACTGAAGATAAATCAATGCAGTTCGGTTTAAATGCCAGTTTCTTCAAGAACCTGATATTTCAGTTAAAATAATTGAAGCTTCTTTTTAAAAAGAAAATTCGACTCCCTCGTAATCAACTACTTTATGTGAAGAAAAAAGGCATTGTTACAATGGCTCAAAACCGTTCTTGAAATACGTATGATAGATTCAGTCCAGCGTCTAACTAGCAAATGTCTTGCCCACGTCCTCCTTCCCTTTGTATTTCCTCTTCCCATGTGTGAATGGTATGTACCGGTATTTAATCATGTGCTGGGAAAACAAACACACAAACAAATGAGTTATTTCCACCCAGTTTCCTGATCAACCACATTTTCCCCAAGTCTGAATAGCTAGTGGGAACCCCTGTCTTTTTTATCTATCACACAAATGAAATCCCAACAACATGCCTCTTGCCTCCCCCATGAACACAACAAAACTTTCCACAGCCCAAACCTTTGCCTAAAATCTCAGCTACCTGGAGAATGATTCATGACTCCCCCCCACCCCGTAGAGCCTTCTCTGCTGCTGTTGCCCTAAGGGTACAGAGGGAGGAGTCAGCTGCACACTGCACTGCCAAGAGCCTGAATGCGCTCTTCTCCTTGGGTAGGCTGACAGCAGAACCCTGAGCTCTCCATCTAAGAAGCTACTAAGAGACCCTACAGACCTGAGCTGCCCGATCCAGGGAAGAGCTTTCCTACCCAGCTCTCATAAAAATGCTACTAAGAGCCAGTTCACTCTGACAACTAGACATGGGCATCATGTTCATTGACCTTGGTGGGAAATAGCACTGTATCATCGCACACAGATGGGACCACCTCAACGACTCTGTTGACTGCACTCTGCCATCTCCACCCGCACAACACCCCAGATGCGAGGCATGGCCCTCCCAAGTGCTGCTTAGGGAACAGGACAGTAACTCTGCCTCAGCGTAGCAGCAGTATCTGTTTTTACCTTTATTTGCCTCTTCATTGTGATACAGAAAAGCATGATGAAGTACATCACCAGAATCGGCCAAAACACAGGAACGTTGAAAGCATCAAAGAAGGTACAGATCATAGCCACAAGGATGCCCTTCGTAGCTGCATGCCTTCAAGTAAGGAGAAAGGGTTACCACCACCATCTGCAGCCAGCACCAGGCACCTGCCACAGCCTTGGCACAAGATGCTAACTTCACCCACAGCTGCAGAGCAACTGCACAGAGAGGAAGGCTCTCTACTCTCAGAGCAGCGTGGCCTTTGCATTTATTTTCTGTATGTGCACTATAACTAGCCACAAATATATCTTCCTCTTAGTCCCATGGAAACTAGTTTTCTTTGTAAAATTACAGAAATTATAAACATCTGTGCTCAAGCCAGATATGCCTGTTTGCTGACTGGCCCTGTGATTTGCATTACACTATCCAGGACCTTCACCTAGGAATGAGGACAGGATTCTGAAGAGAAAAACAAGGAGCTGCTAGAGACATACTGCTGCCACAGGCCCCTCCCTACCCCAGTGCATAGCTGTCCCACTGCCATGGTCCTCAAAACAGGATCAGTACGCCACACTTAAGAGCCCTCCATGGCTCTTCCTTTCCTACAGAACAAGTCCAAGTTCCTCGGGTTTCCAGGGTCCTGATTTGCCCACTTTCCTCTCCTTCTCCCCAACACCTCCCCCGGCACCACCCATGCTCCAGCATCTTACAATCATCCCAAGAGACTGGCCAAACCCCGCATACCCCACGCACAGTGATACAGCTGCAAAGACTAGCTCTCGGGAACCCAGTCTACTAATTCAGTTTACTGATCCAACACACACTAGCTCCTCCTGTGATGTGGTGTGGAGAGTACGAGAGGATGACAGATGCTTCCAATGAAGTCCCGTAAGCAGCTGCGCCCACCAGCCTGTCATATGTTCTGCCTGTCATACTTACCCTTGTCTCTCACCACATGCAGAAGGTCTGGAGATGGGTTCCTGGCCCTCAGGGAGCAGGCTGGTCCACTGCTGCTGGCCATAGGAGGCCATAGCATGCGGAGGGAGGTGGCAGGGGAAAATGGCCATAGCTCACACCCTCTGTCCCAGATCCAGCCTCTTTTCTGCTAACCTTCAGAGCACCAGTTTTAACTTGAAGCCAAGAGGATGCCATTCCTACTCTCACTAAACTGCTAGCCAACTAGGACAAAAATGAGTCCACTCTCAGTCTTACCGGCCATACTTGAGCACAGGCACATTTCTCAAATACTTTTAAGAATTAGCTCACCGAGACCAGCAGTTAGTGTAATGGCTATGTCGCTGGACTCCCACGTAGTCGACCGCAGTTCGCGTCCCGGACCCGGTGGCTTAAAACTCACGCCAGGCACGTGTGCGTGCATGCCCAAGATCCCGAGAGGAGAATGGAGGAGAAGGGATTGCGGCGTGGCCATCCCCCCTGGGAGGGTGATTTTTCGCTTTCTGTCTCTCTGTCTCTCTCTGTCTGTCTGGCAAGCGCACACACCCTGTAGCAAAAAAAAAAAAAAGAATAAGCTCACCAAAATTTAAATTCTGGAAGCCTGCGAATGAAGGGACGAAATTCTTCGTTCTGTTTGGTTGGTAATGAAGGACCATCATCTGAAAGGCAGAACAGCAGTCAGAGATGAAGCACCTGCTCTGACATCTATCATCAAATTGGTAAGTTTTCTTTAAAAGCTTTTGAACTAGCAGGCCTCCTATAGGAGAGTATAGATTTACATCATTTGGGGCCAGCAGATGGTGTAATGGTTACATCACTGGACTTCCACATAGACAACCATGAATCGAGTCCCAGACCTGGCGGCTTAAAGCTCACACCAGGCGCATATGCCTGGGTGCTCAAAATTCTGAGAGGAGAATGAACTGCAGCTTGGTCATCCCCCCGGGGGGTGATTTCTCACTTTCTGTCTCTCTTGTCTCCCCAGCAAGCACAAGCGCCCTACAGTATAAACCTTTAAAAAATAATAATTTTTTTTATCATTCAACAAAAAAAAGAAAAAAATAGGACTCTGTAGTCACCTGGCCAACCATTGCTTTAGATTTGTATTAGAATTTCTTTTTTAAAAGACTTCTATATATTTTAAATGCATGGAAAGAATTCAACTACACACAAATATTCAGGAACACAGCAACTATACAACATAAAGAAAACAAGGAATAATTAACATTACTAAAAAGCAGTAAAGAATGCAGACAGGCCAGCCCATGGCATAGTGGTTAAGGCAGCTGGATCCCATAAGGCTAGTCATGTGTGAGTCCTGACCCTACAGCTTAAGAGACATGCTGGGTGTTTATGTGTGCATGCCCAATATGGATGGAGATTATGCAGAAGAGACTGTGGGCTCCCCTACCATGCCCCATGGAGGGACGCTTTCTCCCTTTTTCACTCTGCCTCTGATGAGTACACACATCCTCAGGCCATGAAAAAAAAAAAAAAGGAATGCAGGCAGGGCTGATTGTGGCATGATAGTGGACTACCTTTGCTCACCGACAGCAGCTGCATGCCAGGCCTTCTTTCATCTAACCTTGCCCACCTGAGACTGGGGCCTCCATCACTCACAGAGAAACCGAGGCCTACAAAACACAGTAGGCCAACTGCCAGAGGATACATGCGCTTGACAGAGCGGGAGAGGGAAAAAGCACCCCTCAATGTGGAATGGCCATGCTACAGTCCTTTCTCCTCTAATTTCTCCACCGTCAGGACTTTGGACATACATTCACACAAGCCTGGTGTGTTTTTCAAGTATCCAGGGGCAGAACTCGAATCACCGTCAGACATATGGGATCTGGCTCTCTTAACCACTAGGCTATGGGCTGGCCCAGGGTCTCTCTTTTCTTATCTTGCCAGGGACACATACACTTGCCAAAGACACACAGAGTGACAGAAAAGAGAGGATAAAACAACCCCTAAGGGGTCTGATCATACCACAACCTCTTCTCTGTCTCTCCCCCATCTGACCATGAAATCAGTCATGTATGATCCAGCTCCCTTAACCACCAGATCTCTTATTTTCTAATCTTCCCCAAATGGCAACATTAAACAAAAGGGGCTGTGTTTTCTTTAACATTTTTACTAAATATTATAAAGAAAAATCACAGGCTTCTGGTCACATAATTTGAAAATAGATTCAAGAAAAAAACCCACTCAGAACATTCCTCCCATAACAGAAAAGAATTGTACAGGCAGTTGTGCCTGGGTTTTTACAGTAAGGGCAATAGATGTACCTAGAATGAATGGTTCACTGTGTGTCTGTCTGTTCCGAGGCTAGCCAGTCAGGCAAGAATTCAGGCTCCCCTACCTGGCATGGTATGGCCCAAGAGCAATGAGATCTTCATGACTGGTATGTCTAAGACACACTGATGGGCCGAGAACATTCCAACTCATCTCTCTTCAGAAATCAGAGAACTAATCTCAGCCTGGATAGTCAGGGTCCTAGTGGTCTTTCCAACAAACGGAGCCTGTGAAAATCTCTGGTGATATGAGAAGGAAAACTAAGTGAGGAGCCCTAAGGTAATTCCAAGACATGATATAGGACAGGCTCTGGAGTCAGACTATTCAGGCTCCCATCCCTGCTCCATCTGTCATGTGCCCTACCATGTGACCTGAGATAAGTTACATGACCTTGTGTGTCTGTTTCCTCATCTGCAAAATGGGAATAAAAGAACAAATATCCAGCATATAGCTCTTAAGAGGGAATAATGAGCCGTAATGAGCAGTCTACAAACAAACTTATCCTTATTACCCAACATTACATGTCCATATACACACCAAGAGAATAGTCTCAACTGTTTCTAGAAAACGTGGAGCCTGTCACCCTGCCCAAACAGATCAAAGTGGACAGTCTCTCCACCTACCTGAATCTTCCATTAAAGAAGGATCCACTTTGGGAGAAAGAAAAGCTATAAAAAGATTGAGATGGTAGATTCCCAAGGCATAGGTCACAATGTACCAACCCTGCAAGAGAAAGAAACACAGTAAGTAACAAGCTTTGTCCTGAATCAAACCAATGCACTGTTTTGACACTCTGTTAACTCTTGCTTTTAACTGAACTTAAAAGTATACACAATGTGCTTACAGTAAGGAGAGTATAACTAAATAAGTACAATGAACTTCCACGTGATAATTCAGCTCAAATTACTTTGTACATTTTTTAAAATTATTTTATTTAACTTTACTTTATTATAATCAGAGAGGGACAGAGAGAGGGCAAGAGAAAGTGAGAAAGCAAGCTGCCAGGTCAGGGACTCAAACTGCAGTCAGCCATGTGGGAATCCAGTGCCCTTAGGCACCACACCACCTACCAGCCCCTACTTTGTAGATCTTGATAGTAAAGTTGACAAAGCAGGGCCCAAACAGCAGACTTCTTCAAGGATCCAGTTAGATGCACATAATGCCTGAAACTACCAGCTCCCAACCAGGAATGCAACAGAAAAGGCAGCTTCTCTCAACACATGCCTCAGCTGCCCCACAGACACCTGAATAAATGTGGGTATGTGCACCTGGCCCAGAACCCCTGTATAAACAAATAGACTCATCTGAGACTTGAGATAGAATCTCAACTATTACTAGAGACAAACTGGCCGATATCCCTGTAGTGGACAACTCACATTCCAAAATCACTTTGCCGAAAGTACTGTTAATCTTTGCCCCAAAGAAATCTAGAACCAGGAAATCAAGAATGAGATTTTAAAACATGTTTTTAAGCCGGGTGAGCAGCTGGATCCCACATGGCTGACTAACCGGTTCAAGTTCTGGACCCAAGAACTTGAGAACACCAGGCTTGTGTGTGTGTGTGTGTGTGTGTGTGTGTGTGTGTGCGCGCGTGCCCTAAATCCCAAGAAGAGAATGGAGGAGAAGGGACTGTAGTGTGGCCATCCCCCCAGAGTGATTTATCACTGTCCCTCTCTCTTTCTCTGGTGAGCACACATACAATATAGCAAAACAAAACAAAGAAAATATTAAACCAAGCCATCTCAGGCAGTCCAAAGGATACCTATATGTAACACACTTACAAATAATTTTTTTTTTTTAATTTGCTATCGGACATGTGTACTCACTAGAGACAAAGAGAGAAGGTACACCCCAACAGGGTTGACTATACAGTGATCTTCATTCTTTTCTCAGGATTTTAGGCACATATGCACACACATCTGGATGTTTGTGAAGCCACAGGGTCCAGGACATGAACCATGAAGTCAGTCATGTGGATCCAGCTGCTTTACCCACCATGCCACCAGGTTGGATTGTAACTTAATTTTTTCAAGTACCAGGTTCATCCCATTAGAAATAACAACATTATCAATTTTTTTCTGCATTATCAATTTTTTAAAGTATTATTTTATTTCATTTACTATCGCCATCAGTATTTGTTTAATATGACCAGAGAGGGACAGAGAGAGAGAAAGTAGGAAAGCAAGTCTCCAGGTCCACAACTCAAAGGTCCGCAGTGGGAGTTCAGCGCCTTCACCACCACACCACCTGCCAGTCCCCTGTACTGTCAATTTTAAAAGCCTGAACTTTTCAAGCAAGATGAAATCTTTGCCTAAAAATTTTACAACTCAGATAACTAAAAACTGAATATGAAAAGTTAATTTAATGTTTGCATTGTCTTGTATTACAGAGCCAAACCTTAAGGGATGCCAAATTAGAAATAAGTTTTTCTTTAAAAGCTAATAAAACTGAGTTGGGGGGCTGGCAGGTGGCACAGTGGTTAAGGTGCTAGACTCCCACATGGCCAGCTGTGATTCAAGTCCCAGACCTGGTGGCTTTCTTTCCCATTCTCTCTCTCTGGTCAAATTGAATAATAATAATTAATAAATAAAATTAGGGGGTGGGGTCAGTGGACAGGGCCAGGGGCACTTCCAGTTTCTCCGACCATAGGCCACCACTGCTCCGCCTTCCAGAGGAGCACGTCTCTGTATATAATATATGTATGTGTTGTTCCCGGTTTTGTACGGACCATACCCTCTGTCAGGTCGTCCCCATAAAAGCAGTCCCCAGAAAAATTAATTTAATTAATTTAATTAATTTAATTAATCATTCTTTAAGGGGCCAGCAGGTGGCTTGGTGGTTGGGGGCGTTGGACTCCCACATGGCCGACTGTGGCTCAAGTCCTGGACCTGGCAGCTTGCTTTCTCACTTTCTCGCTCTTTCTCTCTCACTCACTCTGTCCCTCTCTGGTCAAATTAAAATAAATAAATAATTAAAGTTAAATAAAATAATTCTTAAAAAAAATAAATAAACTAGGTTGGCTCTGCAGCTTAATGGTTAAGGGAGCTGGATCCCACGTGGCTGAGCACAGTTCGAGTCCTGGCCCAAACAGTCTGAGAAACATGCCATGCTCATGTGTGTGCGAGTGCCCAAAATCCTGATGGGAAGGAAGAAAACTGAAAGGAAAAAAAAAAAAAAAAAAGGATTATGGCATGAACATGCCCTACTGAGGTGTGCTTTTTCTCTCTGCATAGTAAGCCCACATACCCTTTGGCAAGTTAAAAAAAAAAAAGAGAGAGGGAGACAAACAGTGCTAAAGAACTAAATAAAACTAATCTGTGTGTGTTTCCCTCCCAGTTCCTACCTGAATTCTCAGTTTCTAGGTCATTCTTTACATCAGAGAATGAAAAAAGTTCCAATTTTAAAACATAAATCCAAAATCAGTTATTATAAAGTCAACATTAGTCAGGCCAGCAGGTGACGTGGAAGTTAAGGCTATGGATCCTCCATGGTCCACTGCATGGTTTGACTCCTGGACCCAGTGATTTAAGAATTATGCTGGGCACGTGTGTGTGTGTGTGTGTGCATGCCCAAGATCCCAAGAAGAGAATAAAGGAGAAGAGACAGTGGCATGGCTATCCCTTCTGGGGAGTGATTTCTCACTCACTTTCACTTTCTCTCCCTCTCTGTCTCTCTCTCTCTTTCTCCCCTTAGAAAGCACATGCACCTAACAGCAAAAACTAAAACAAAATCATTCAACATTAGTTTTAGACATCCCGTACACATCAAGTCCTGCTACAATAAACTAAAGAACAGTCCCACCTCCTTCATACTGAACAATCTTAGGTTAACTCACAGGAATAATTTCATTAAAAAAAAAAAAAAAGTTTCTACATTTAGTTTAAGTGAGAATTTCATATAGTCCTGGACACATTATAGAGTCCAGCATATAAATAACAATCCATGGGGCCAGCAAGTGGCATAGTGGTTAAGGTGCTGGATCGTGTAAGGCCAACTCTGCAGTTCAAGTCCCAAACCTCCTAGCCTGAAAAACACCTGAGTGCATGTATGCCCAAGATCTCAAGTGGAGAATGAAGAAGGAATTGCAAAATGGTCATCCCCCACTGCAGGAGTGATTTCTCACTTTCCCTCTCTCTGTCTCTTTCCTGTGAGCACATGAACCCTATGGAAAAAATTTAAAAATTAAAAATGTCAGTCTATGCGGACCAGCAGTTGGCGTAATGGCTATGTTGCTAGACTCCCATGTAGTTGATCACGGTTCAAGTCCCAGACCTGGTGGCTTAAACTCACGCTGGGCATGTGTGTATGCGTGCCCAAGATCCCGAGAGGAGAATGGAGAAGAAGGGATTGCGGCATGGCCATCCCCGCCTGGGGGGTGATTTCTTGCTTTATATCTCTCTGTCTTTCTGGAGAGCAAGTCAGTCTATGGACTGACATCCTCCCAGACCTTGGAAAATATCAGGAAGGAAGGTATTTGCCTTAATGAGTAAGTATCTCTCACAGCTCCAGAGGAGAAAATATTCTGGAGAAGGCTTTTAACCTATCCTCCTTTGGACAAATAAAACATAAAATAACTTCCTCTCAAAGTCTACAAAGAATTCCCATCTTCAGGGTTTGCTCCTAGAAACCAGGTGTGCACATGAAAGTAAGTAACCACCAAAGGTAAAGTATGAGAAGACATCTGGCCTGGAAGTACTCAAAAACAATCAAGGAAAACCCTCAAAACCACCTTTGATCATTAAGTCTCTCTCTCTCTCTCTCTTTTCTTTTTTTTTTGAAAGAGATTTTTGCTATAGGACACATTTGCTCGCCAGAGACAGACAGAAAGGCAGAAAGCAAGAAATCACCCCCCGTGGGGATGGCCACACCTCAATCCCTTCTCCTCCATTCTCCTCTTAGGACTTTGGGCACACATGAACAAGTACCTGGCATGAGTTTTAAGCCGCTCGGTTTAGGACTCGAACCACAGTCAACTACATGGGAGTCCAGTGACATAACCATTATGCTATCTGTTGGTCCAGAACACTAAGTCTCTTACTCAACATCTCAACCTACACACTCCTCTTAAACCTCATAAAATGTGTAACTCAGATACAACTAAACCCTTCTGAATGCCAAAATCATTCATGGCACCTGAAGTATGTACCTCTTCCCTCAACGAATGAGGTAACTGCTACAGAACAGTACTTTGCCCCTAAATCTCTGGCCCCAGGATCACTATGCAGAGTCAGGAGAGCCCAAGAGGGTCCATCTTCCAGATGAGGACACCCTAAAGGCAGGACTGGGGAAACTGTCAAATATAACACGACATGGGCTGAGGTGGAGACTGTCCTAGGCACACTCTGAACTCTAGCTAAAGAATAGGACAAATGTAAATAATCCTGTTTTAAAAGATAGCCACTAAAATGTTTTTTGTTTGTTTTATTGTTTTGTTTTGTTTTGTTTTTTTAACCTTTGAATGTTTACTTAAGAGTGATTAGAGACCACTTCCTCTAAAATAAATAGAATCGACATCCTAACCAACACCAAATTAAGATGACATGGAGACAGCTGAGTCTCATCATTTCAGTCCATACCTACCTGCAACAGGTAAACTCTGATCATATAGATGAAGCTCAGGCCCAGCGTCACGACCCATCGCACAGCTGTGTAAGGGGTAGACTTGTCTAGCCAGGACTGGTAAATCTAGAAAGACAAGAGTTCAAAAGCATGAAGTAGACCCTCTAACTCCCACCACACCAGCCTTTTCTACAAAGTGTATTTTCAGTTACAGTTACACCAAGCAAAAAAAAAAAATTTTTTTGAGAAGATTTTGCCATAGGGCCAGAGGGAGAGAGAGAGATAAAAAGTGAGAAATCACCTCCCCCACCCACCCAGGGAGGATGGCAATGCCGTAATCCCTTCTCCATTTTCCTCTTGGGATTTTGGGCATGCACACACATGCATCCGGCACAAGTTAAAAGCCGTCTGGTCTAGGACTTGAAACAGGTCAGCCATGTGGGAATCCATTACGCCATCTGCTGGTCCCATTGAATATTTTTAAATTGTAAAAGAGCTAATTAAAATAGCAAGAGATCATATACACAGATCAACATAAAGCAGTATCTACAATTAATCCAACTTATTTGTAATAATTTCTTAAACAAGTATATCTCCAAAGCAAAAAGTACAAAACAATCTATCACAGGAGATGATGTTACAGTATTAGCCCAAAGGGAACATCATGGGGAAACTAACCTCAACCCAAACAGAGAACTATGACTCAGAAAGCAGAAAGTACACCTTTTTCTTTTTTTGATTATTACAAAGTTTATTTAACAAAAAGTTTTTTATGTGTAGAGAAAATGAAGCTCATGGAAGTAGGTTTCTACATGTGTCTAAGGGTCACCATGCTTGCTCAGACTGGCCACTCTCCACAATTATGAAAATGTACATGACCTGGTTTTTAGATCACAGTAAAACATGCCCTTTGGAGAGGGGACGAGGATTTTTCTGCTGAACAGTCATTATTTATACCCATCGCAAAAATTAACAAGACAACATCTCCTCATATTATCACCAGTCCACTACTGTTCTGTTGCCCACTAGTTGATGTCACCACACATTCACTATCACAAGATTCATAAAGGGGGAACTAGCAGTTAGCGTAATGGCTATGTTGCTGGATTCCCACGTAGTCGACCGCAGTTCGCATCCCAGACCCAGTGGCTTAAAACTCACACCAGGCACGTGTACGTTTGTGCCCAAGATCCCAAGATGAGAATGGAGAAGGGACTGCGGCGTGGCCATCCACCCTGGGGGGTGACTTCTCGCTTTCTGTCTCTATGTCTCT